CCAAATCTCTGGGCAACTAGACAGCACCTAACTCCACACTCCTACAAGTTTGCAGTTGAGAATTAATTAAATGAAATTTTGCCTGAGATTTTCAGAGCTTCTCAGAGGCCAGAGCCTGCTCTGCTATTCGAACTGAATAACGAACCCTGAATTCAAGTGATACTAAAGGAAACAATGCCCTTTTTTTTTTCTAACTCGGAGAATTTAATTTAGGTGTTTTATCAAACACTGCTGCTCCCAGTAGATTAATGGCCCACTATAATCTTTCATATTAAATTAATTGAATGCAGAATGGCTTTGCTGGTTTTGAATGACAGCCTCCAGAGTTTAGCTCATCATTCTTTAAGGAAGCATAAAATAAGGAACCAGCATCATAGGGCCCGCGTTATCACCTTTTCTCTGTCTTTTGGAGGTTTTTCCACTTTCCGTTGCCACACGGCGCATTAATTAGCAGTTAAACACCTCCACGGCCCGACGATCTCCGGTCTGCATCCTTAATGAAACACCCGCCCTGCCCCTAACAGTCCACCTCAACGTGTCGCTGTAAAAGGACTCTTACTATACCCTTACTCTGCCCTCCCAACAAGCCTCAACTCAACAGGATTACCTCCACTTTCCAAATGAAGAAACCGTGCAGCTGGGCACAAACTAGCTCACAGTCACACAAGTCAGTGACAGAGCAAGGGCAGGACTCCCAGTCCAGTGCTCCTTCTCCCACACGAGAGCGGCCTCAAGTGACTTCACTTTTTTAACTGCTCACTGTTTTTGTAGGATAAAGCTTTGTCCTGCCTTTTTTTTTCTCCTATGTCTTCTTCCATCCTGAATTTAAACCAATGAATTCTTCTTTAGCTCTTTCCCATCTTACCTTTGTCACTTTCACCATTGTGCACCGTGAACCTCAGGCTGCAGCCACATGGGGACACGTACCGCGTCCTACACACACGATGACCTTGCTTTTGCTCAGTGCTGCTCCTTCTGCCGGAGGCCCTGCCCTGCTTCTGGGTTTCCCCACTTTTCCCAAACCAAATGCCATTTCCTCCACGGGGCCTTTGCAAAGGCTCTGTACACCACAATCACGTGCGATTAATCCCTGGATTGCCAGGCTGGCTCAGCACCCGCAAATCTGTAACTATGATATGCCACATTCCCAAAAAGCATAAAAATCGTCTGATTATCTCAAGAGATGCAAAAAAGCATTTGACAAAATTCAGCATCTTTTCATGATAATCACTCTCAACAAATCGGGTATAGAAAGAATGAACCTCATAATAAAAGCCATACATGACAAGCCCACAGCTAATGTCATACACGACAGTGTAAGGTTGAAAGCTTTTGCTCTAAGATCACTTCTCTCCCCATGATACTGGAAGTCTTGGCCAGAATACTTAGGCAAGCAAAAAATAGTAAAAGGCATCCAAATCAGAAAGGAAGAAGTAAAAATTGTTTGCAGGTGGCATGACCTTACATAGAGAAAACCCTATGATATTTCGCCCAAAAATTGTTAGAACTAATAAACAAATTTGGTAAAGTTGCAGGATACAAAATCAACATACAAGCCTCAGTTGTGTTTCTATCCAGTAACAATAACTATCCAAAAAAGAAATTAGTAAAACAACCTCACTCATGACAGCATCAGGATGGGTGAAATTGATGATGGGTGTTGAGGAGGGCACTTGTGATGAGCATTGGGTCCTATATGTAAATGATGAAACACTAAATTCCACAAGTGAAACTAGTATTACACTGTATGTTAACTAGTGGGAATTTATTTTTCAAGATTTTATTTATTTATTTGAGAGAGAGAAAGAGAGAAACAGCATGAAGGGGAGGGGCGAAGGGAGGAGAGAGAAAATCTCAAGAGAGTGTACACTGAGCATGGAGACCAATGCAGGGCTCAAGCCCAGGACCCTGAAATCATGACCTGAGCAAAAACAAGAGCTAGATGCTTAACCAACTGTGCCGCCCAGGCATCGCACTAACTGGAGTTTAAATAAAAACTTGGAAAGGGGAAAAAAAAAAAAAAGAATAAAATACTTAGCAATAAATTTAACCAAGGAAACAAAAGACCAGGACACTAAAAACTATAATACATTGAAGAAAAAAGTTAAAGAAGTCACAAATAAATGAAAAGATATCCTATGTTCATATATTAGAAGAATTGATATTGTTAAAATATACATACTACACAAAGCAATGTACAGATTCAATGCAATCCCTATTAAATTTCCAATGGCATTTTTCAGAGATAATAGAAAAAATAATAATCCTAAAATCTGTTGGGAATCACAAAAGATTCTGAACAGCTAAAGCAATCTTGAACAAGAAGAACAAAGCTAGTAGCATCTCACCTCCTAATTTCAAATTATATTACAAAGCTATAGTAACCAAAACAGTATGGTGCTCGCATAAAAACAGAAACATAGACCAATGGAAAAAAATATAGGGCTCAGAAATAAATTTACGCATACATAGTCAAATAATTTTCAATGAAGGCATCTAAGAATACACAATGGGGAAAGACAATCTCATCAAAAAAATGGTGGCACTGGGAAAACTGGATATCCACATGCTAAAGAATGAAATTGGACACTTACCTCCTAGCAAACACAAAAATCAACTCAAAATGGATTAAAGACTTAAATATAAGACCTGAAACTGTAAAACACCTGGAAGAAAACATAGGAAAAAAGCTCCTTGACATTGGTCTTGGCGATGTTTTTTTGGATATGACACCAAAAGCAAAAATACCAACAGGTGAGATTATGTCAAATTAAAAACCTTCTGCCCAGTAAAGGAAATCATCAACAAAACAAAAGGGCAACTTGCGGACTAGGAGAAAATATTTGTGAACCACATATCCGATAAGTGGTTAATATCCAAAATATATAGGAGTCCATATAACTCAATAGCCAAAAACAAATAACCCATTTAAAAAAAAAATGGGCAAAGGACCTGAATAGACATTTTTCCAAAAGGACCTACAGATGACCAGCAGGTACATGAAAAAGTGCTCAACATTATTAGTCACCAGGGAAATGCAAATCAAAGCCACAAGGAGACATCACCTCACACCTGTTAGGACATCTATTATCAAAAAGACAAAAGATACCAAGCATTGGCAAGGATGGGAAGAACTTGGAACACTCATTCATTGCTTATGGAGATGTAACCATTGACAATGGCACAGAACGTAGCTAACTTCCTTCCACCGCTATTTTTTTGAGCTTGCACTTATGTTCTAAAAGGTGCTAGGGGGTATATTTTGCACTGAAATCTAATGATTTTTAAAAAACACTTAAAAGAAAACATTTTTCACAAAAATAGTCCTTTGGAAAAAAGAAAAAAATAGTCCTTTGTCATTACATTATTTACCAATGTATTTGTACATTTCTGTCTGCTAATTTAGGAATGATTTTTTTCAGTAAAAAACACATATTCAAGAACCACCAAAAAAAAGAAAACAACGTTCAGATCAACATTATTCATTATTCATAATAGCCCCAAAGGGGAAACAACTCAAAGGTCCATCAACTAATGAACGGATAAACAAAATGGTGGTCCATGCCTACACGAGAGCCTTACTCAGCCATAAAAGGGAAAATGTCCACTTTAAAAGGATAAATTTTATGTTATGTGAATTGTATTTCAATTTTTTTTTCAAGTCGGTTGAGTGAATCTGGCCTGTGGTTGAGAAAGGCTGAGGACCAGAGGGCTGATGAGTGGAAGTCATGCAGCCTCTGGGCTCCCCTGTCCCTGGCTCTGGTTCCAGTCATCTCTCAGGGACACCACTGCCACAGCCTCATTCTCTTTCTCACCCCCAAACCCACTTTTACAAGTGTCCCACTGTCCACCTGCATGAACCATGCCTTTTTATTTTCTCCATGTTTTGACGTCCAGGACTTTGCTCAGCCAAGAGAGACACTCACCCTCCCAGAATTGGCCAATTCCTAAAGATGCTAAAGGACTCACCCACGAGCGTGCCTTTCACTTGCGAACCAGCCAATCCAAAAATCTTCGAATCACTTCCTCTATCTAGTTCTCACAGTCTGGGGCACTGCCCACCTGCCCCCAGGGCCAGGCGTCAGACAACTCAAGAGCCCCTGTGTCCCGGAGCCTACAGACATTATTCAAACCAGCCAATCCTACACCTGCTGACCCTGCCTGGCCTCACCTGCCCCAAGCAAACCACAAGAAAGACTCCTGCCCGCATTGTCCCTGGCTCCCTCCTCCTGGTGGTTCCCTGTATAGCCCTGCTGGGTGTGCCCTGCCCCCATGAGTAAAAACTTCTTAGGGCAAGGTCGTCATTTCCACACTATCCCTATGATCCAGGTGTCACCAGACCTGATTCAAACGAAGCCCAGCACATACTGAAACACATCCTTCAAATCTGCTTCTGCCTTCCCTCTTCTCCCACCCCTAACTTTTCTCCACCCCACACCCTCCAAGCTTTGTAGCCCGCCCCATACATCTCCGCCTTCCTAAGCATATCCCATTCCCATCACCATGCCCTTACCTAGGGTGGGCTGAGGCCTCTGTCTTGCGCACCCTCTCCTTCTCCCACCTCTTCGCCTGTTTTTCCTGTGCCCCCATGAAGCTTCGCTTCCTCTCACGCTGCCTTCGGAAGCCCACCGGGATAGCCGCTCTGCGCACCAACGGTACTGGCACTTTCTCCCTCAAAGCCGGGAGCCTGCGTGTCTGTCTCCTCCAAGATAAGCACTGTCATCCCTCATATCTGGGAGCCCAGCGCTCAGCACAGAACCAGTGAGGGACTGGTAACGCAGTCAAGGCAGGGTTTTCTTTTTTCGTGTAAGAAATCTCCCCTACCGGCACATGAGAAAGCTCCTGGACGGTGGAGCCCTTACCCTCTGGGTCCTTGGAGGGCCCCGAGCACGGCTGGTCCTGGGTGCAGGCCTCGGGCCCGAACGCGTGAAGCGGAAGGATGACGGGGCGCACGCACACGTGGGAGGAGGGTGGGCGGGAAGGCCGACTGCGCTACTCACGCTGTTTCTTCCACTCGCGCTCCTCCTTCTCGCTGGCGCGGCTCTGCAGCTGGGCCTGCTTCAGGGTCCAGTAGAGCTCCTTCGCCCTCTGCTCTTCCTGGAGGCGAATCTGTTCCTCTCCTCGCTTCCTCTCCTCTTCCTCTTTCCTCTGAGATATCATGGGGGACAGAACGACGTTAGGTCACGAGAGAGACGTGCCACTGTGTCCCTGGGGCGGGGCTGTGCTATCGCGGGGTGCGGTGGGCCAGTGCTGGCTCAGGTGTGGTCTCTGGCGCAGGACATGGCCATGGGCAGGCCTGATGGAGGCTGCGGTGAGGATCAGGCAGGTTAAAATGGGGGGGACAGGAATGCCTGGGTGGCTCAGCTGGTTAAACTACCGGCTCTTGGTTTCAGCTCAGGTCCTGATCTCAGGGTCATGCCATCAGCCCTGTGTTGGGCTCCATACTCAGTGGGGGTTTGCTTGAGATTCTCTCCTTCTCCCCCTCTGCCCCTCTCACCTAAACTAAATAAATGAATCTTTAAAAAAAATACACGGGAAATAACTTGTAGACTCCAAAGCTTTCTGCAAAGATAAGAGGACACTGGGCCATCCTTGGCCACACTTGCCTTCTGGGGGAGAGGGAGGACAGGTACCATTCCTTCTGGAGGCCGGTTAAGCAGGCTATGATCATATCTTAACCTTCTGTCTGGATAAGATATTTCCAAGACAAATAAATAAAATCTTTAAAAATAGAGGAGGGGGGCACCTGGGTGGGTCAGTGGGTTAAGCCTCTGCCTTCGGCTCAGGTCATGATCTCAGAGTCCTAGGATCGAGCCCCACTGTGGGCTCTCTACTCAGCAGGGAGCCTGCTTCCCCCTCTCTCTCTCTCTGCCTGCCTCTCTGCCTACTTGTGATCTCTGTCAAATAAATAAATAAAATCTTTAAAAAAAAATGATATTTCCAAGACAAGCAGGTTTGGGGGTCCCACGTCTCCAATTGTCCCACTTTGAAGTTCCAAAAAGGCTGTGTGTGTGCGTGTGTGTGTGTGTGTGTGGGTGGGTGTATTTCCCTCTACTTTTGTTTACATCAAAGTAACCCCACAGGTGTCAGATGTGCATTATATGCCAAAGGCTCGTTTTCAACACCAACAACTCTCCAGACCACTTCACTCCAAACCACTCCAACCTCACCCATGCCCAGAGGCCATCACTCTCAATTATTTTAGCTGTCCCTCAAGTGGTGACATCTCTGAATCACACATTCACACACATTTACAATGGGTAAAAAATATTTTACCCATTCTAAATATTTCTGCCTTTCTTTTTTAGTACACGAGTATGTGGCATTTATGTTTGGCTCATGGGTACACGCCCAGACGTTTCCTCTCCTCACCCTTACCCCGTCAACATCACATCACAATTTGTGGTGAAATCAATAATTGGTGTAAATATGGTTCACTGCACCAATTATAAGAAGTACATTTTGTAACTTCCTAACGTATCTCTGAAACATGGGTATGTCTCATGACTTGCAAGTTGCCTTTTTAATAGGCAATGGTTTCTTCTTTCTTCTTAAAGTAATCATTAATAAATCAATACTTAATAAGGCATCTTATATTCAGTAAAATATGGTAGTATGATGGCTTTTTCTTTCTTGACTTTATAATTGTTTTATCCTGAAGTTGCATATTGAATTCTCCCAACTTCTCTAAGATCTACTGTAAATCTTTCCCTGTGTTTAGTATTAAAACAGGTAAGCAGCAGTTAGCTATTTTCAAGGGTCCCCACTGTCCCCAGATGCCAACCTTCTTCCTTCTCCCATCTCGGTTGTTACCTGGGCCTCCTGTCCATCCATCCACCAGGGGACTCATTTCTCAGCCCTCCCCAAGCTGAAGCTCTTGTTTCTTTGTTCAAGGGGTTTTTTGTTTTTTGTTTTTTGGCCATTTCATCATTTTTGCAAAAGCACAGCTATCAGGACTTCTCAGGTAGGGACACACAGAGAAACACTCTCTGAGTCTTGTCTAAAAACATCTCTAGGATTCCTTCAGATAGAACCACTAATTTGGGGGCACCTTGGTGGCTCAGTGGGTTAAGCTTCTGCCTTCAGCTCAGGTCAGATCTCAGGGTCCTGGGATCGAGCCCCGCATCGAGCCCCGCATTGAACTTTCTGCTCAGCGGGGAGCCTGCTTCCCCCCACCCCACCCCCCCGCCCTCACCCCCACCCCCCCTCTCTGCCTGCCTCTCTGCCTACTTGTGCTCTCTCTCTGTCAAATAAATAAATAAAATCTTTAAAAGAAACAAACAAACAAACACTAATTTGGCTGAGCATAGAATTTAATTAAAAATCACTTTCCTAAAGCAGAATTTGGAAGACTTTTCTTCCTAGCATCCAATACTACCACTTGGATTTTCAATCTTCTGCATGAGCTATTAAGTTTTCTCTTTATTGCTGATATTCTGAACATTGTTAAATGATGTGCCTTGGAAGGGATTTTCCTTCATCGATTGTGCTAGGCGCTCAAGGAGCTTTCTGCCTGAAGTTTCGGATCTTTCCAGTCTAATACATCTTGGCTTAGAATTTCTTAGGTAATTTCTTCTCTTCTCATTGTTTTTCTTTCTAGAACTCCTGTTTTGTCAAATGCTGGACTCCTTGACTTGATCCTCTAGGGGGCTTAGCACTTCTCTCTTACTTTCTCTCTCCTGCCTTTGCTCTTCTACTTCCTGGCTGATTCACTGATTTTATTGTCTAAACCTACGATTACATTTTTCATTGCAGCATCGCCTTAATGATTCCCAAGCCCTCCTTCTTCTTCTCTGCTTGCTCCTTTTTGCTTCATTGCCCCCTGTCCTGCTTTCAAGAGTGTAATGTTCCATCTCTGAGGATTTTAGAGCTTTCTCCCCCCAACCCCATATTCTGATTTACATCTATTTCCTCTGTTTTGGGGCTTTTCCCTTCCCTTTAAAGTATGTTATATGTGTTGCCTGTCATTGGTGTTGGAGGCTTTCTTCCAATGTCTGATGTTGCCTGGAGGTCCATATTTAAGCAGAAAATAACTTTCCGAATGAGAGACTCAGAGTGTGTAGACAGGACTTCTGTGGGAGGTGGACTTCACTCCAGGATGACTGGATGAGGAATCAGCATTTCACTGAGGCAAATACTCAGTACTCCGGTGCTTTGTCTGAGATAATTCCATCTTTTCTCCTCTGTCCTCCCTCAGTGGAGTCTGAGCACCAGCATTCCGAAGTCTGTGGGGAAGGCAGGCAGCAGGCAGGAACCCCTAGCTTGTGCCCCACATTACATAGGAACACCATGCTTTGAAATGCTTTCTTTGTAAGCAGCCCCCACAGGTGTCTCCCAGGAGGGGGCCCCAGAAAGTCCCCCTGGGATTGGCAGGGACGGCAGTGGTCCCCACGTCAGCTACCCGAAGTCCAGACCAGGTCCTGCATGAGCCCTAGTCTCATGTTTCTCCTCCTTGGGTGCTCTCTGACCCTCTCCTTCATGAAAGGGGTTAACCACATGGCCCCGGGAGCTCTAGGACTCCTATTTAAGGAATCATCTTGGAGTGCAGTGGCCAGTCCACAGTTCAAGGGGCGTGGCTTAGCAAGCCAATGAACCCCGCCAGCCGGACCATATTTTTATCTCAGCATTGCATGAGATTGGGTGACCAGAAAAGACCTAACAGCCTGATTCCATGTGGCTCAAATGGCTAATTCATGCTAAACAAGGACAGCATGCAAAAATACTTGCTGGCCCTGTGCATCCCAGAGACAACCCAAGCTACAGATCCCACTGCTCTGGCTACTCACTGCTAAAACGAAGATCTTTCGTTAATCCTCCTGTTTTCCATCTGCCCCTTGCCTGCTCTCTCCACTCGGCCTGACAAACTGAGCTCTGAGCCTCTGCCCACTCCCCATCTCCTTCTGTTTAGAGAGAAGGATCCAGTAGCCTGGGAGAAATGGGTAAAAGTGGCGACATGAGGGTCCAGCCATTCCACGGAGAAACTGGTCGCCAACCTGAGCTCTCTGCTTCACAGTCCCTGGTGCCCCCAGGTCCCAAGCCCATGGGGACCCAGACTAAGCCAGCTCCCCCCTACCCCCTTCCTGCAGGCACCGCACTTGAATCCCTCACCATTCTGTCTTCCAGCCTCCAAACCTCGGCAAACATTTTCTCATCTGTTCCTGCTTCTCGTTTTCTCTCTCCTGGTGCTTGGAACTTCTTCAGTTCTTTGCTACTATTTAAATGGATCAACAAGAATCCGGTGGGGAGGAGGTAACTGAGTTTTTAATCCTTCATTTAGCAAAAAAGACAACGTGGTTTTTTTTGTTGTTGTTTCTTCCAAAACAGTATAGATTAAGGATTTTCTTCTAATTCAACAATCAATTTTTTAGTCCAAAAGAATAGGCAAAATTCCCACTTCCTAATGAGTCGCTCTCAAGAGTTGGGCATGAGGACAAGAGAAGGTGAATGGCTTCACGTGGTCAGTCACCAAATAGTTCCAGGATCAGGCCTGTGTTGGGCTCTGGGGACACAGCAGTGGCCAAGACACACACAGGCCCCACCTGGTGCTTGCCTTTCCAGGGGTGAAACACACCAGACAAATAATCATCAGGAAATACCAGAAAATAATAACCAGTGTGCACAGAATTAAAACAGGGGAAAGGACAGAGAGAATTTAGAAGGCCACTTCAGGCTGGGTGACCCGAAGTCCTCTCAGGAGGGTCGATGTGATCTGACAACTGACCAGTAAGGAAGAACGCCAATAAGTGAGTATCGGGGAGAAGAAATTTCCACACAGAGAAAACCACAAGCACGATGGACCTGGCGTTGTAAATGGGCTTGGCATGTTTGAGTACAGAATCACCCACTGTGGTTGGAAGAAGAAAAGTCAAAGCTCTATATTGGATGAGTTCGAGATGCCGTCTGACATCCCCGAGGCCTGCCCTTAGCACCGGGATGCGTGAGCTTGGGGCTGAAGGGCAAGTTCAGCTGAAGATACAGCTCAGAAGTCATCTGTGTGGGGTTGATGTTTCTCAGCCACGGGACCTAATGCTATCACTAAGAGAAAGAATGCAGAGCCAGAGAAAACCACCAGCAATAAGGTCCGGTAAATAAAGTGGAGCGTAGGGAATATAGTCAAAAAAACCGTAATAATGTTGTAGGGGATAGAT